TGATATAATTAACAGGCAGACAAAAAATTTTATATTAAAATTTAAATTTGCTGACTGCCGTTGTAATCTTGAAAAATCTGAACAGTTAATTTTGAGCGAATTAAAAGCTCAAAAGGTAGACAATTCAGCAGTCAACCGACACTACTGTTAAACAAACACCGGCTACTGTCTTGATAAAACAAGCTTAAGAGTTTATTATGCAAAGTTATAACATTCAATTTACATACGGAAACAACAGGTTACATGTGTACCGTCGTTATTTACATTAGCAAACAAAATTTCTGGTTAAGCATAAACAAACTGTTATTTTTACATTGAAATGTACAACTACAAACGACATTGCTTCGAAGTATACTTCAGTTTATACGAGTAATAACCCATATAAATTACAAGTAAAATAAAATTAAAAGAAAAAAGGATGTATATACATTTGGTTGATTGTACTGTAAGTTGTAATATTAAGCGTAACAATATCTTCTTTATTTTGTTTCTTGCCGTTCTTTGAGTCAATATTTATGTTTAGTAAGTTCAGTATTTTGAGTTAAAAATCAAGTAAAGCATATAACTTTTTTTTTGCATTGTTCATCAAAAGATTTCATTTCATTATTTAAAGTGAACAAATTTTGCAACATCTTCACAAAACACTGTTGTACAGATTGAGGAAGGAGCTGCTTGTTAGCAGACTAAATCCATTATGGTGTTTCAGAACCGTCGTCATGGCGAAAAGCTACTGATGATTGTGGCCAGTATGTTATCTTTTAGCACAGGTAACGATTTATGGAGCTTTGTTATTTTTTTTTGACTGGTCTCAAATTACGACTAGATAAAAATGGATAGATTAATGATCACAAAAATGAAAAAAGCAGTTACTTTTCATACCCAATAAGATTTAAAAAGCGATAATTCTCATTCTGTCTTCTTTATTTGTTTCACTCTCTGTAATCAAGCATAAAAATTTCCCTTCTATAACTTTTTCCTCCGTGTCTTCAATAAAATCAAAAAAAGTTTCAAAATAAAATAATTCTCAGTTTGTAAAAATCTGATGCTTTCACTTGATTAAAGTTCCTTTTGTCAAATTCTTTTACAGTTAAGTCATATTATCTTATTTGCTGCGCCTTAAATACCAACAGCAATTATGGCAGATACGGCAGCTACTTCGATGGCTGTGGCAACAACAATCGGTGCGGCGGCTACGATAAAAATACCGTTTACCTGAGCCCATATACGCCGTATTCATCAGTCTCCTGGGATATTCCATACTACTGGAACATATGGAACATTTTGAGCAATCTAATCAGTACCGGTAGTTTTTACGGCTACGACTATGCCGGCAGCAGTAATGCAATACCGGTGATACCACAGCAGACCAATATCAATGTTCCAACGATTAGTAGTGCTGCTGGCGGCGTGCCAATTATCCAGTAACCGACTAATTACTGTAAGTGTCGTCACCATAGTCTTTTTACTTTCAACAGTTTTTCTAAACAAATTTGCCTAAATATGACCTTAAATATAGAATGATTTTGAAATCTTTACTTCAATTTGTACTTTTAAGAAAACAAAGTAAAACTGTTCTAAAACATTATGAAGGACCTTATTTATGTGCAGTTGTTTAATGCAACTTAAAAGCCATGAGTAACCACTACTGCAAAATTTTTCAAGCAGTCATTCAAAAACTATAGATGCTTAGATTGACCAGAAACTATCAACATCTACTTTTTTTTTGTTTAATTAATAGAAGTATTTAATGGATACAAATAACTTTTTAATAACTGCACATAGACGGCTAAAGAAAACTCACTTTATACAGTGTCACAATTTTTTTTCTCTCATTCTGATTTATTTTTTGTAAAAATACTCTCTGCAACTTAAAAGCAAATGAAGTGGTTTTTCTTTTAATTTTAACAATTATCATCAATGATAAGGTCGAAAATACATTTCCATTGTGTAAGATGAAAGGAAAAAATGAAGCATTTGCTCTAGGTGATACTGCAGTAAAATGGTTGTTGTTCAAAGAAGGACATAAGTTGAGACAGTGAAAATTATGACAGATTATCCAACCACATCTCCAACGATATACTGCATTCAATAACTGCTACTGGTATTTCAACTGCTTCAAATAACTGTCAGTGTGTGCTAAATACGACTCAACTTAAACCTTTCAAAAAATGATAGTTTATGCTGTTTAGAAACTGATAATGAGTTATTGATGCCATTAAAAGTCTAAAAAAATAAGATTTTGCCTTAACCTTTTTTGTAAAAAAGTTGCTGTTGTTTTTTTGTATCCCTGGTCAAAGCGTTATTTCAGATATCAATTCAATATGGTCGTTGTATAGTTACTAAATTGTTTTCATAAGGCTTATATGAAATACAGTTGACTCAGTAACGATGAAAGTTTTGTTGTAAATAAAACGTTTATTTGAAACTTGAAAGACTTTTCTTCTCAATCTTCGCCTCTTTCAAAAACATTTGGTAACTTACTTGTTTTTTTAATCTACCAGTTTGTATCAATAATTTTTTTATCATTTCCAGTAAATAGAAATATTGTTAAGCAAACGTTTTTTCGTTTTCTCTCTTGAAAAGATGTTATAAAGTCAATTTTCAAAGATATTGTTTTTTACATTATTCCAGGCCCTTAAATTAGGTCATTGGCAGTTACCAAGACTTTTTCACTTCCTTAATATTATAGATGACGTTTAGCTTCTCTAATGCAAATTTGAAACAATGTGAAGTGTCAGGTCGTTGTAACCACTTCTTCGTTCAGAAGTTAAACTAATTGATTCCGACTCATTTGCTACCAATACGAAATCAGTTTTGATTTTACTATACTTTGGTTTTTGCTGCTGTTTGTGGTTGTTGAAGCTGCTGCACAAAATACTTTTTTGCCATTCCGTGTACAAAAATATTACAGTTTTTTCGCTTTCCATTTACATGCGTTCACTGGGAGCGAAAGTTCTTTTGGCGTTAAAGCACTGTTGCCCTCACTACCTCTCTAAACTATCTATGGGACGAGCTACCGAAATTACATCGCTTAGGCCTGAGATAACTATGTTATAGAAGCATTTTAATGTTTAGCTTTATTATGAAGCTGGTAGTTGAAATTCAAATTACCTTTTATGCTTCATAAGAGGTATTAGATTAACGCAGCATTATTATATGTATTTTTTCACCTTGGTGTTTATTTCCATTTACTTAATAAAAAAATTTTGACTTTTTTCGCTGCTTGTTCTCAATGGTTCAGTATATCTTTAAATTTTTTCTTTTTTTAAAAAGTCATTTTTGCTGTTAATGTAATTTACTGACTTTTACTTTGGTACAGCTGTGCTTTTCAAGTGATAGTCAAGCAGAAGCTGTACGAATTTTTCCATAACTTCAACGGATTGAAAATAAATTCAGAAAATCTGTATACAAAAGATATTTCAAAATATAGATGAACAAAACTCATAAGAAAGGTACCGTAAGCTGCAGTAGTTTTCGGAACTGATGCCTACACTGTATCAAAAATTTATAGATTAAACTACATTACTCATACACCATCGATTGTCACAACAGTGCTGCGCCTCTGACGGCTAGTTTTTAAAGAACAGGTTTATATCACTAGAGTACCTAAAAAAAACACTGAACAATAACAAAGGAAAGAAATTTTGGCTCAACTGAAAAATGAGATCAGTTGTAATATAAAATTGGAAAGTGAACGATTATTAGATTGACGGTAAAATTATACAACAGAAGGGACGGCGGCTTTTGTCAAAACGGAGTGACTTCCGGGGCAGGCGAAGGCTTTAGTCGGAAAAAGCTGACTATTACCAGAGCAGAAGCAGAACGACGGAAAGCAAGAAAGAGCGTATTTAGAGATTTAAGAATCACTTCCGGTTAAAAATCTTGAACAAACTCTAAAACTGCTGTATTATTACTATTATAGACCACCAAACTGGTTACTATATAAGAACCTTTAAAGTGGTAGGTTTTCCACTGATTAATTAATTAATCCACTAATTTCTTGTGTTATCGTTTAACCTTACTTTCGACTTAGTTAGCATACATTTCCTTTCACACTCACTGTATGAACCCCCTTTTATCACTCCTACTAGTTCTGCTTTGCTTGTCAAAACGATGAGTAGGAATTTTACAGGCAACAAATGGACTTCTTGATACCAATGAAGAAGAGCTCCTCAAGACAATCCCTTTGTAAAAATAAGGCATAAAATACCATTTTTTTTGCTCTCCCTCCCTTCTCCGTCCTACTCCACCCAACCACTTTTCAACACTTCCAGCGAGAGATACTCAAAAAGAGATTTATGGGGATGACACGACGAAATAACTATCTCATGAATCTCAGCATATTTTTCAAATGTTTTTTTTTTTTTTTTTTTTTTTTTTTTTTTTT